CTAAAACCCATCACAAGTGTGAATTTTCTCTCTACCCTGTACATTTTGCAAGATATTCATGAGCCTGTATCTCAGCTGCCAGAATTCTTTCAGTCAAATTACCTACTGTTACCAGATGTGAAGCCTGCTTTCAGTGGCGTCACAAGGGGGGTGCAGCCGGCACCCGGGTGCCACCGTTGGAGGGGTGACACCAAAATGACTGACAGTCATTTTGGTGTTCCACCCAATATGAAAAGTCGGGCACTCGTTCACATACCGAGAGCCCGACATTGTCAGGAGAGAGGCGTACCTCATCCCGCCGGGTGAATGTCCCCTCCTCTCTCTGCAGACGTCCATCACAAAGATAGCCACCAGTAGGCGTCAACAAGACGACTGCGCATGCGCGATGAAGTCGACACCCACTGTGGGGTGTCAACCAGTCTCCGCTTCGGGTGACACCCAGCCTCTGGAAGCCCTTGCCTGCTTTTGAAAAATGTGCAATAAGACCGACTGGCTTGAAGCTTGATCCCGGTGAAAACATGAAGCAGTTTAATAGACTGTACCACCCGGAGGACAGAAAATTTGGAGATCAATCTACTGAGGGGTGGGAGATTCAATTGTCAGGCCAGTGCCCACCAGCTTCTAGCAAACGTCATGTGCAGCTCATTGAAAACATTGTAGATTACACTGATTCTCTGCCATCCCTTGGATTCCAAGTGCTTGACTACACTCTATGGTCAGAAGGCAGAGAGGACCTATATACAAATGGCAGAGCTGACCTTACAGAATTGTTGGATTATTACGCCATTCTTCTCGCGGCTGAAGAAAAGTCACGCTGTCCTCGAAGAGTTTTGTGGACTTAAGGCACACATGAAAAATGTCACAGATAAAAAACATAAAAGTTTTGCTAGCATATTCTTCTGTGTTTTCATGAAAACCATCTACTCTGTTTTATGTTCAGTTTAAGCTCCTCTAGCATAACCAAGCATGTCCATAATATAAATGGCTTCATGAGGGTGCCTCTGTTAACTTAAATGGGAACTATGAGGTGAGTGATTTTCACTCATCCTCATAGTTCGAGCCGACATGTGACAATGAAACTGTCACACGTCGGCTCTATAGATCGGGAGGTGAGCGAACACATACCGTCGCTCGCTCACTTCTCGATCATCTCCCTGCAGAGAGCAGTGGCTGTTTCGGCGCTCCCCTCTACGATCCTCCAGCGCTGACTGGAGGAACGGACGGGGGAGGGGGCGGGCACAGCAGGCTCTGTCTCTAGATAGCCAGAGCCAGCTGTCATTCACATAGCTGGGTGGACCTCAACAGCATTGTCGGGATCCGTCCCAGCTGCGGCGGTCTCAGTATACCGCAAGCTGTAGCTCGCGATATACTGAGCTTTGGGTCACGGGAGGACGCCAGTATATGTCCTTCCGTGACCCTTAAGAGAACTATGGGGGAAAACACTTACCCCGTAGTTCTCAAGTTTTTTGATAAAGTAAGCTACAGTTCTCATTTGGAAATCTGTTCTGAATAAGCTCACCGTCTACTTTTGTGTTTGTTGATTGAATTACAGTACTTTTTGGGCCTGTCTTCTAACTTCTCCTAAGGACAAGTAGATTGGGCTCCCGGTTTAGTCCTTGGACATGTAGTATTTTTGTTACATTTCCACACCTGATTCATATGGGAATCCTGGTAAGGAGTGTAGCAAGGATCTCTTTTCCTGTTCCAAAGCATCTCCTGGAGCAAAGGTGTTGTGTGATGAAACAAAAATTATGCATGCACTATTCACTGCAATGCATGATATTGCGGTACCATGATCTGCTTTGCAACTGGGAGGGGGTGCCATTCAGAACGCATCAGCGCACCTAGCGTGCTTTGCATTGCGCTGTTGAAAACCGTGCCTGTAGCTCAACGATCTAGTGTGCAAGTAAGGGAATCCTCAGACTCCTTTCAGCTCTACAGCTTGTACAATGGAAATCCTACAAAATACCACCTAAGATATTGGATACAACTTAGACCTCATTCACATCGGGCGTGTTGCCCCGTATAGCGCAAAGCACCATGTTTTGATGCGCCTGAAGCTCATGTAAGTCAATGGCGATGAAGGAGTCGTATGCCCTCATAGGCTGCTTCCCGGAGCTCAGAATATTGACAGCTGCACCAGACGATGTACGGGCCTCGGATGCGTACATGGTGGATCCGGGAGCGTACACTGACTCTGTGCAGCTGTGATAGCTCAGAGCTGGAGGGAAGCAGCATGCGAGGGCAGACAGACCCTGCATCTCCATAGACTTACACTTCTTCCCGCAGCTCTGGCACATCAACAACTGGCCCTTCCCGCCGTACGGTGCAACCGTCATGTGAATAAGGCCTTAAATGAACAAACAAATTGCTGATCCACCCAGAAGGTCAGAGGTCACTGGTTTAAAGTATATCTATACCCAACATATAGTTGTACGCTGTTGCACGTGTTCCTGCAATGTTAAAAAGCTTAAAGGAGAACTATGAGGCGAGTGCTTTTCACTCACCTCATAGTTCTAGCCGACCTGTGACAATGAGACTGTCACAGGTCGGCTCAGTAGATCGGGAGGTGAGCGAACACATACTGGCGTTCGCTCACCTCTCGATCCTGTCACGGCTCTCTGCCGTGACAGGGGAGGGGCTGGATTCCCCCCTCCCCGATCCGCCAGCACTGACTGGAGGGTCAGCACTGACTGGAGGGTACAGCTGGCTCTGCCTCTAGATAGGCAGAGCCAGCTGTCAGTCACGCAGCTGGGCGGATCCCGGCCTAGGGTGACGGGAGGACGCTAGTTTGTGTCCTCCCGTTACCCTAAGGAGAACTATGGGGAAAAGCCCTAACCCCATAGTTCTCCTTTCAACCTTTTCTTCTTTCTCCACAATCACTTCCTGTCCTAGGATGATGATGATTTCTCAGTTTAGCGGCAGGGCTTTCAGCCTCTCCTGTGTGCTCCCAGGTTACACTGCAAGCAGCTGTGCCAGTGCCCAGTGCGCTAGAACATTCCACCGCAATCATAATTCGGCTGCCCCTGGAGCGCACATGTGTCCACAGGAGTTCCTACACAGAATCTACTTGGCGAGCACTGTGCGTGGAGGAGGGGCCATACAAATATGGGGGGGAAACTGTGTTTTTTTAACAAAAAGAACAATGCAAACCTGTTTTCTTAATGGCAGCTGAAGTGCTGGGCTGAGATCTAAATATTACACAGGAAAGCCGGAACACCTAAAATAAAGAGCAAAAATACTCAAATTCTGGAAGAATCCCAGCAATGGATGAATCTGATCTTCTGATATTGTCTATTGCTAAATTCAGAAAACTTTTACAAATAATTGAAGCATTTGCGGCCACTACAGCCATACCTTTCCAGCAAAATGTTCTGGGGCGCGGAGGAAACAACCGCAAAAGCTGAATTGTTGTCATTTATTATTTGTATGTAGTTTGTGGTGTAATAAACTCAGGGGCGCCCTGTGACCTCAGGGGGTGAGGTGTCCAGTAGGTGGGCCCTGTGACCTCAGGGGGTGAGGTGTCCAGTAGGTGGGCCCTGTGACCTCAGGGGGTGAGGTGTCCAGTAGGTGGGCCCTGTGACCTCAGGGGGTGAGGTGTCCAGTAGGTGGGCCCTGTGACCTCAGGGGGTGAGGTGTCCAGTAGGTGGGCCCTGTGACCTCAGGGGGTGAGGTGTCCAGTAGGTGGGCCCTGTGACCTCAGGGGGTGAGGTGTCCAGTAGGTGGGCCCTGTGACCTCAGGGGGTGAGGTGTCCAGTAGGTGGGCCCTGTGACCTCAGGGGGTGAGGTGTCCAGTAGGTGGGCCCTGTGACCTCAGGGGGTGAGGTGTCCAGTAGGTGGGCCCTGTGACCTCAGGGGGTGAGGTGTCCAGTAGGTGGGCCCTGTGACCTCAGGGGGTGAGGTGTCCAGTAGGTGGGCCCTGTGACCTCAGGGGGTGAGGTGTCCAGTAGGTGGGCCCTGTGACCTCAGGGGGTGAGGTGTCCAGTAGGTGGGCCCTGTGACCTCAGGGGGTGAGGTGTCCAGTAGGTGGGCCCTGTGACCTCAGGGGGTGAGGTGTCCAGTAGGTGGGCCCTGTGACCTCAGGGGGTGAGGTGTCCAGTAGGTGGGCCCTGTGACCTCAGGGGGTGAGGTGTCCAGTAGGTGGGCCCTGTGACCTCAGGGGGTGAGGTGTCCAGTAGGTGGGCCCTGTGACCTCAGGGGGTGAGGTGTCCAGTAGGTGGGCCCTGTGACCTCAGGGGGTGAGGTGTCCAGTAGGTGGGCCCTGTGACCTCAGGGGGTGAGGTGTCCAGTAGGTGGGCCCTGTGACCTCAGGGGGTGAGGTGTTCCCTGTGACCGGAGGGGTGAGGTGTCTAGTAGAGGGGGCCCTGTGACCGGAGGGGTGAGGTGTCTAGTAGGGGGGCCCTGTGACCGGAGGGGTGAGGTGTCTAGTAGGGGGGCCCTGTGACCGGAGGGTAAGATGAGGTAACTAGGGGAAGACCAGGTAACCTGAGGAGAGGTGAGGGGACCCCATGTCTTGAAGGGGGTGAGTATCCGTCAGGGAGGTCATGAGACTTGAGAAGGGTGGGGAACCCCGTGGTTTTTTTTTGGGGGGGGGTGAAATGTTCGTCACCAGCGCACGTACAGAGAAGCCTTCCGTCACATTCTCCTTTCGCGGCTCCGAGCGGTATCCACGTGACGTGTCACATGACTCAGTAAAGGAATGCAAACAGAAGACTTCTCTATGCGGCATTTGCTTAGGTTGGTGTATCACTGCTGTAGATGAACCTCCGTTCTAGGCGCCGGGTAGCTGTGATTTAGTAGCGCCGCCCTGAGTTCCCACGTGACTTCTGACTCTCCACCCCCAATGCAACTCAGGGACGACGCCATTTTGCTGTGGCCATCTGCCTCTTACCTGGTCCTAGCCAAACACTGGTGGCCCTCTGGCGGCCAGGAGCAAAAATGCTCCCTGCGTCCAGCTTCCAAAGAGACACGCTTTGGGTGTGACCCGGAAGCGTTCCCCGAGCCGCTGCAATAAAGTCCTTCCGGGGGCGGGGTTTCTTTCTCTTTCGTGTCGGCCATTACAGCAAGCGCGAGGTGAGCTTTGCAGCTCGGTGGCTGGACGGCTCCTGGGTGGGCTCGAGGGACTCATCGGCCGTCTGTGGGATGTTTTCGAGGCCTTGGGACATACCCGGGCTGCCTTTGGAGGTCGGCGGCTCGGCTTATCTCCTTCAAGGGGGTGACAGCCGAGGCCAGCATGTGCCAGGCACTGTTCATGAGGGGCTTCGGGCCTTAGGCTGGTAACCCATAGTTACCAGTCTTCTCCTTACTGATGAGTACTTGGGAGACCCCCATGGCCTTTGGTGAGATCTTCTACTTGGAGCCTGGGGAGGGGCTTCGTACTATATACAGGCCCCTGGCACAGACCCCCCCATACTATATACAGGCCCCTGGCACAGACCCCCATACTATATGCAGGCCCTGGGCACAGATCCCATACCTTCTGCAGTGCCTGGACAGACAGGCAGACCCCGTAACTTAGGCAGCAACTGGCCGCAGACCCCGTACCTTGGGCAGGCCCTGGGCCATGAACTGGGGTTAACTCGTTTTTGCAGATCAAAATTCTTACTGTGGACTGATTTCAGCGAATCTCTGGAACATTTGGTGGTCTATTTATAACTTCAGATCCATTCCTCAATGCAGATCTGTGAAGGTTTGTTCTGTGCAAAGAGAGGCAAAAACGAATGTTTTGTGTTTGTTTTTTTAGGTAAGGTGAAATGTCACTGCATTATGGCCACTAGATGCTTTTGGGGACGTGGGGGTTACAAACTCTGCAAGTTGTAAGGTCCTGTTAACACAATAGCATTGATACAGGTATAGTGCCTATGCTGCGTTTAGAGCATAGTGCCGTGCACACTAGGTGTCCTGGTGCTTTGTCCATTTTGAATGACCCCCAAATGCACCTCCTGGTGGTTGATAGTGTGAATGGGCCCCAAGCGAAAAATTGGTCTGGACAATTGAGGTCAAAAGTGGAGCTTTGGCCAGTGAAAGGGTTAATAGATTTTTCTCCTAGCTATTCACTTTCATCCCTCAGGTGAGCTTAATTGCTTTCAATTATCTCCACCTGGGTGTGTCAGGTTTACCTGATTGCTCTGGAGGCTGGCTTGCATTCACTTCCTTTGGCTGGGCACACACCTTACAACCATCGCAGGACTTTTGTCTTGCGATGGTTGTAACGTAATTTAAAAAAAACGTACGAGCTGCCTATCTTGGACAGGCAGATCGTACTTGCGATCGCAAGCCCCACCCTCCTGAGGGGCGGGCTTCCAATGAGCGCAATGCTGAACGGGCAGTGCGCTTGCGCACCCCTGCCCCTCCGGCTTTTATCTTGCGAACATGTTACACACCCACCGAACATCGTACAATGCTCGGCGGGTTTTCGAGCATGTTCCTAAGATAAAAGTCGTGCAACCTACAGTAGTAGAGATCGTGGGATTTCTCGAGATTATCGTACTATTATCGCAAGGTGTGTGTGCACCTTTAGTCTCAAAATCCTAACACCCCCCTTCCCCAATCTGGAGCTGAGCTTATAAAGCTTTGCAGCCCTGCAGCAAGGGCCTTGTTGGCCTAAATATGACCTTCCATCTTTGGGTGTGGGCGATGTGAGGCTTCAATATACTGGACGGTGGCTAATAGGCAGCGGGTGGGGATTCTTGCCATACACTTGTACTGCAGTAGAAGCACGTCCCTTATCTGCCGCTCTAAGGGCAGGCCTCATGTATTTTAGCCTAGGTTCACACTATTGCTGCTGTCATTATGCATTTTTGTCACACTTTATTGCCAAATGTCATAGATTACTGCTTGTCTTTGGCCAATTCTTCCTTAATGGAGATAAGTGCACAATGCACCAAGATGCATATAAATGCATTTCTCATGCACTCCCATTAAAGTCTATAGAGCCAAACGCATGGCGTAGACTAAAAGGAGATGACAGATGCATGGAAAATCACACTATGTATCACAGGTTTATAGCAAATCAATGAAGCATGTTCTTTGGCCCCTTGTAAGTTCAATGCCTGTAGATCAGTATATTTGGCACACAGGCCCCATGCGTTGTGTGTATGCTCTCCCTGTGCATGCGTGGGTTTCCTCATACGTTTCAAAGACGTGCTGGTTGTTTAAATGGCTCCTGTGTAAATTGGCCCTCATATGTATGCATGCGAGTTAGTGCTTACAATCTAAGTTCAGGGACTGATGTGAATGTGCAACGATGTTAAAAGAGAATTATGAGGTAAGTGTTTTCCCCCATAGTTCTCTTAAGTGTCACGGGAGAACATATACTAGCGTCCTCCGGTGACCCAAAGCTCAGTATATCGTGAGCTACAGCTTGCGGTATACTGAGACCACGGCAGCCGGGACGGATCCTGACATTACTGTCGAGATCCAGCTGTACCCGCCCCCTCCCACTCTGTTCTGCCAGTCAGCGCTGGGGGGAGGGGGGAATCCCTGCAGGGAGCCGTGAGTGACAGTTACCACTCTCTGCAGGGAGGTGAGCGAGCGGCCGTATGTGTTTGCTCACTTGCCGATCTATTAAGATGACGGGTGACAGTTTTATTGTCACACGTTGGCTCTAACTGAGGATGAGTGATTTTCACTCGCTTCATAGTTCTCTAAGCGTTGTGTAAATTGGTGCTATGTAAATACCTGTAATAAATAATACCAGGGGCTTTTTTTGGATTTTAACACAAGGGTAACCAAGTGGTTTAGCACTGTGTACTCTACAAAGTATGATTAATCGGTTTTCTTATTCTGACAGGTCCTTGTGACTGTAACCAAAATTCAAAATGCAGAACGACTCCGGTGAATTTGTGGACTTGTACGTTCCTCGTAAATGGTACGAATGGTTTCTTTTATTTGTATTTCAGCTTCCATCTGTAATGGCCGATATGTCCCTGTACTCCATTTGTATTTCTGGCATCCTTGTGTAGTATGATTAGTATGCATCTTATGGTTGGCCATCCTTTTGGATCATTTTTCTCAAAAACCTTCTTATAAAAGGACTTCACAATGTATCCGCCTGCTGGTTTTAGTTATCTAGGTTGTGGCATTTTGATTGGACAGATCTGAGTACAGATATAAAAGGAACCTGTGCCTTGCCCAACCCCAAAATGAAGAGCTAGGTGATTAGTGTGTGTAAAGGGAAAAAATTAGGAGACTATAAAATGGGGTCTATCTCTTCCCTACTCTGTTCAAAACAAATGTTTCCCCTTCACAGTGTCCAAAAATTAAGCTGCACTGCTGACCTTCAAATAAGAGGGTGTTCAAAGGCATGCTCTGAAAACGGTCACCAGCACCCCAAATACATGCATATAGCCAGTTTACTATGAAGACTGGCACAGGTCAGTAGCATACTAACCTTTCAGGGTTTCGCAGGGTCCCTTATGGTGCCAGTCTTTACTAGAAGTCTGTCAGGTGCATTTATTTGTAGCATGGTGACTTGCTTCTGTTCCCAGCTTGACTTGGCACAGCACCATTTGTCTCTAGCCCTTTGAGCATCCACTGATTTGAAGGTCAGTGAGTGCAGCTTCGTCTTTGTACATAGTAAAGGGATAACCTTTTATTTTGTTTTGGTCCGGCTAAGCATGGGAGAAGACCCTCTGCAGAGTTTTTATTGCCTTCTGTCCCCGCTGAGTAAATCCACTTTATTTTGTCCTAGTGACTTGTCACTGAGGCAGTTGGGTAAAATCTTACATTTTACATTTTGTTAGGGAAGTAAAGGGAGGGATGTTCCCTTTGGGAAAATGTTGATGACAATGGAATAGGATTTTTTTGGGGAGATTTCCTCTGTTTTATCAAAACAGTAAAGTGTAAATCTGGAGGCACAAAATGTCAATATAGGGGGGGTCTAACCTCTCCCTACTCTTTTCAAACGTGAACGTTTGTATATACACTTTAGGCACCCAGCTATGGAGTCTTGTGCTGCCATGGGGAGGGAATATGGTGTTAAACCTGTGTAAGCTTTACCCAGAGCTACTTGAATGTACACGGCAATTCTTCAGATTGGTCCTGAGATGGAATGGTGGGGTGATACTTAAAGGATACATGTACTTTCATATAAACAGTCACTAACCTACTACACGATCCGCTCCTTGCAACTTACCTTTGTTCCAAAGCTGTGGGCTGTTTAGTTTATAGGTTCTCTGGCAAAAGTCTGTTTAGTGATGAAACTCCATAGACAACTTAATTCAAACCTATGGGAACTCTGCCAACAGGGAACCGATTTTCATCAGGCTGTAAACTGAGGCTGTGGTTCTGGAACTTAAAGTTTAGAGTTTAGTCTAGTTTACCCTGGGGGAGGTAGTTTAGTAAGCAGCATATACAAGTATGGTTGTCCTTTAAATTAATACTAAAGTCAAAGGGAGATTTTTCAAAACCGGAGCAGACAAAATATGGAGCAGTTGTGCATGGCAACCAATCAGCTTCTCCAGTTTAAGATTTGAAAATGACAGAAGCTGATCGGTTGCCATGCACAGCTGCTTCAGATTTTGTCTGCTCCAGTTGTGATAAATTCCCCTCATGTTTAAGTTATTTCAAATGCTGACCAAAACCCAGTGGATGCAGAATTAGCTTGTCCCTGGAGCGCTGGCTTTGATCCTGTTTGGGGGGGGGGGGGGGTG